ACTATTATAAGTACAAATTTATATACCATAATCCAGATATCTTGAGCTTAGCTTCCATAAAGATTGTTTAGCTTTGACATAGAATTTCAAAAATCTTTTTATCGATAGGAACAGCGACCAAGTAGTGTGAGTAGGCGAACGAGTTCTTCCTAAGATTGAACGCGACCAGCCAACAGTTTAGATTAGAAAAGTTCGCAGCGGGTCCGGGACAAATTGCTTCACTAATACAACAGATTTCGGACTTCTCCTCAGCTGAAATCCGACAAAAACTACCCAACACGTCGTAGTTTAGCGGGTTAAGACGACCGTCTATGTAATGAGGGAATAACTTTTATGCTCTCGCCGTAATAGTTTTTATATTACAGTCTTCGGTGATGTAGATCTGCTTTTAATCAAACTTAATGTTCTATTTTCAGACTTTTCTACTAACGACGCTTCTTAAATCTCTTTTGGTATATTTCATAAAGGAAATTTTAGTTTTTTAACAGGAGATGAGAGTAAGATGATGTTAAATTACTTTGAATTATAGCTGCAATTCATGCTTCATAGAAAGAAAGACGCAATTTTGAACTCATTGAGAAAGTTAGATATAAGCATGTATTTTTAGATAAAAATCTAATCTAGAAAAAGAAAACCTGGAATTTTTAATTTTAGTACTTTACGTAGATACTATTGAAATGATATCAAATTCTAATTTATTTTATATCATTCATGTAACTTTTATTTTATTAACCCGCGACGCAAAAAGAAGGGAGCTATGTATGTATAAATTTAGTCTGTGCATCTGTGTATCTATGGCAGCTTACTAATTTTAATATATATATATATATATATATATAGTTTTTTTTTACTTGAAAGGTGAGTTAATTAAGAGCGTTCTTAGCTATAAATCAAGAAAATCCATTCAGCCGTTTATAGGCTATCAGCCAATCAGCCAATTTCTAGACAGTAAATGGATGTAGATCTGTGGAAGTTGTTCAACTTCCACGGATCTAAGCAAGTCCAAACTTGGTATCCCGTTACTTTAATGACATAATAATCGTAATAATATGGTAACCTTGGCTTGATGTTGCAGTGTGAACTGAAATTTGCAAGATCCTCAATTCTTTACTGCAGGGATATCGTTCTTAGGCTTATTGAAATGGCCTCAATGACTTGGTTATGTTATTCGGGAATTTAAAATAAAATAATTTAAAAGGATTCAATCATGTAATCTATTAGCAAATATTGGAAAGTAAGCACAATTTAGGAAAATTATAAGCTATGTATATTAATGATTCTTCAAAAATTCTGTTAATACAATTTTGTTAAATATATGGTTTTTCAAAATATAATAATACAAAAAATTCAAAATAATGCTTAAAACAGATAAACAAAATAATATCAATCAAGCGATATCAGGGATCTACTACTAGTAATTAAGGATAAATCAAAATTATCTATGTTAGATACATTCATATAAGTATTTGATAAATTAAAGTTGAGCACTCGTTATAAGTGCGAGTAGTGCACTCTAAGTGAAATGAAGTCTCTCCTGTACCTCTTGGTCCTGGGTTGGTCTTCTTTTTATACCTAATTATATTATAAAATCGTAACTAATTTCTGAAGTAAAATTATGCACGAAAATAGTTTTGCATTTTTTAAAAATTAATTTTTTAAGTAGGTTTACGGATCTAAGGTATATATCTAAGCTCTACCTACAAATTACATGATTTAATTTTATTCCAGTATATGCTGTTACAGCATTACCCTTGGATGAATCAGAACAGGAATACTCTCAATTCATTGAGTATGCTGATGAAAATGGTTTTATGTACCAAAGTGATTTGCAAGAGAAGGGAGAAAATGACATATTGGATGAAATAGCAAGAAACCCTGAAAATAATCAATATTTTCTCTTCACGAGGTAAAATTGTTGCATATAATTGTAATAATATATGTTTTGAGTGTTCATACCTTTTAAAAATCTTCGTTCTTTACTTAAGGACAAATGACAGATGTCTACAGATATTTATTTGTAAATGATAAATCCCTAACGTATACATTTTCATCAAATAAAATATTTTAGGAAAAAAAAAGTTTTTATATATTCAACATTCAATTATAAGCTTATTGAAATTATAAAATATGTTTAAAATTTAAAATAAACAAATATTGTAATGCTTTAAGTATATTTTTGTATTTTTAAAATCGATTTTGTGTGTAGGTACTGCCTGTAATTACTATGTAACGACCTCGGAGATGTCTAAAATCTTAGTCTCTCCTGTGATCATGATTACTGTAAATTATTTGAAACGGGATCCAAAAATTTAAATAAATCTGCGGAAAAGTCCTAAAATATAGTTTAATTTAAAATATAAATAATAGCTAATATACTTTTCTTTTTAGGCGAAATCCCACTTCATCTCAGACTCTCGTAATAAACAATGCAAATAGCATTACCTCATCCAACTTCAATGCGAGAGTACCAACAGTTGTCCTAGTCCACGGGTGGCTTGGCAAACAGAACACTGATTCAAATTCTTTAATAAGGGATAGTATGTTGAAAATTGCTGATATATATTTATTACTAATATGGATATAGATTCACAGATAACGTTCAAATATTATATCGTTATTACATAGCTAAAATTATTATTGCACTTATTTCAGGCTACCTTCGTAAAAGCGACGTAAATGTTATTGTTATGGACTGGAGAAGATTGGCACTTAACCCCTACTATCCAACTGCAGCTCGTGGTGTCCCGGCTGTTGGACGTGGACTTGGGCAATTTCTAGCGTTTCTTAACGGAGTAACAGGAGCACCTTTTAATAGCATGCATCTTGTTGGATTTAGTTTAGGTGCTCATGTTGTAGGAAATGCTGGTAGAGAATTAGGTGGAAGAATTGCTCGTATTACAGGTTAACTATAGCGCCATTATTATAATTTTGTAAATGAACATCGTTTACAATCAGAATACTCTCATGATGTACATATGTTTTACGTTATAGGCTTAGACCCTGCTGGTCCACTATGGAGTTCAAACCCAGATCGTCTTTCACCTAGTCATGCTATATACGTGGAAGCTATTCATACTGATGGCGGACTTGCCGGCCTTGGGATTGGATCTGCTGTTGGTAACGCAGACTTTTTCCCTAATGGCGGTACTTCTCAGCCTGGGTGTTTGACCAGTATATGTGATCACAATCGCGCTTGGGAACTCTTCGCAGCAACTGTTACTTACAATCATCTTGTGGGCACCCAATGTCAGAATATGCAGGAAGTTTCTAGGAATACTTGCACCGGATCTCGCCTGAATATGGGAAATGATGATTTAAATAAGAGAGGGTACGTACATAGTTAAACTAGAAGTATATCCCCAAGTTTGTCAAACAAGATGTATTATTTTATGTAGAAAAATAGATTCTCATTCATCGTTTATTCAAAATTACGAATATTTTTAATATTAGACAGTACGTGAAGAAAGTTTCCATATTTAGTAATTATTTTTTTCGTATTCCTAAATAATATTTTATAATAATGTTTACTGCATATGTTATTTTATTGTTTATTATTTACAGAAATGGCCTGTTCCGAGTAAATACAGAGAGAAGATATCCTTTCTAGAGAACCAAGGAGTCAACTATGTTACCATTTTAATTAATTAATTTAATTTTTGTATAAATATGTAACTAAAATATTTAAAGCCATATCCATATTATTATTTTTTTTATTTACATACATAACTTATCGATAAAAATCTATAAAAAGTGTAAGACTTAAACAGAAAAAAAACAGAAAATACCAATTCCCGTATTTTAATAAGTAACTACGCTTAAAAAAATAAAGTCATACATTAAGCTTGTTTTAGTTCTATATGTAAGAAATCATTGTGAAAATATCAAGTATTTGAAAATCACAATATAAAATATATTTTAAATGGACTTTTCGGTAAAAACGTAAAGGTATTAAACCGCTCTCACATATAAGTACTTTTGAATCGTCAAAACATTTAAATATAAATGAATTTCAATCATAATTCAATATCAGTAATGTACCTCCGCGAGGAAGACGGTTCTGCTGAATAGATTCGGCAAAACATTGTTGACGAGAACAGCTGCTCTTTTAAAAATAATATTTGTTTGCAATACACGAACACAATAATTTTATGCTTATTCTACGTAGCTATCAACTAGACTTATTAAGAGAGATCTCACTTGGAGTAACTTCCTGAGAAGGGGAGTTTCGTTTTAAAAGTTTGAGTATATAACGGTGTCTGATATTGATAACTTAATTTCATGTTGTTTTGACTTATGTCACTGTTTTTGCGACAGCTATAAAAAGTTTTAAAACTAGTATATACATTAATTTTTCAAAAACAAAATATAAAATTCGCGCCATGATGTCTACAATGCCGATCTAACTTTGTACAGGTCCATCTTTAAAAATATTTTTAAATCATAAAAGTTTGTAGGCTGCTGAAAATGTAGCTAAAGACACGCAGAAAAGATTGATGACTACTTAAAGGAGAGTAGGGGAATCACAGACGTGGGCTAATCGCGGACACATTTGTTTGGCTATGTTAGAAAAAGATTAAAGAGAGAAGATACTCCTTTTGGCAATAAATTCGGCACATGTCTATTTATATAGATTATGTATGTAAGGAGGAAAACAAAGGCACTTTAACGGACAAATTATTCAAAAACTCTGTTGATACAATCTTGTGGAAACATCTCGTTTTACAAATATAATATTAATATAAATTATGTCCATTGGTCTGATTGCTGTGATATTTAGATAAAAAATCATAGATTATACACGTCATAATATTATCACAAAAAATTGAACATAATATTTAAAATGGATAAGCAAAATATTATCGATCAAGCGATATCAGGGATCTATTAGCAAAAAATAAGGATAAATCAAAATTATCTATGTTAGGTACATTCATCTGACGATATAAGTGTTCGATAATTTAAAGTTGAGCACTAGTTTTGTGTTAGTAGTGCACTCTACTATGAAGTCTCTCCTGTACCTCTTGGTTCTGGGTTCGTCTTTCTTTTATACCTAATTATATAAAATCGTAGCAAGTTTTTGAAGAAAATTAATCCATGAAAATAGTTTTGCAATTTTTTTAAAATTAATCCATTCAGTAGATTTACGGATCTGAGCTAATGTAATAAATCTAAGTTCTACCTACAAATTACATGATTTCATTTTATTCCAGTATATGCTGTTACAGCATTACCCTTAGATGAATCAGAACAGAAATACTCTCAATTTGATGAAAATGCTTTTATGTACCAAACTGATTTGCAAGAGGAGGGAGAAAGTAACATATTGGATGAAGTAGCCAGAAACCCTGAAAATAATCGATATTTTCTCTTCACGAGGTAAAATGTTTGCATAAATAACTGAAATATATTTTGAGTGTTCATACTTTTTAAAAATAGTCGCGTTTTACTTTAGGGATAAATAGATGATGTCTACAGATATATATTTGTAAATTAAAAAATTCTAGCGGTATACATTTTCATTAAATAAAATTTAACATCAATTTTGTGGGCAGTTACTGCCTGTGATTACTATGTAATGACTTCGGAGATGTTTAAAATCTTAATCTCTCTTGTGACCATGATTGCTATTAAGCATTCGAAATGTCGGAAACAAAAATCAAAATAAATCCGTGAAAAATTCCGAAAGGATATCTTTAGTTTAAATATACAAATATATAGTATTATTTTCTTTTTAGGCAAAATCCCACTTCATCTCAGACTCTCGTAATAAACAATGCAAACAGCATTACCTCATCCAACTTCAATGCGAGAGTACCAACTGTTGTCCTAGTCCACGGGTGGCTCGGCAAAGAGAACACCGATTCCAATTCTTTAATTAGGGATAGTAAGTTGAAACTTATTGCTTATATTTATTTAGTACTAATATAGATATATGTTCACAGATAAATAATATTCAAATATTACAAGTATATTGACATTACATAGCTAAAATTATTATTGTCCTTATTTCAGGCTACCTTCGGAAAAGCGACGTAAATGTTATTGTTATGGACTGGATAAGATTGGCAATTAATCCCTACTATCCAACTGTAGTTCGTGGCGTTCCGGCCGTTGGACGTGGACTTGGGCAATTTCTAGCATTTCTTAACGGAGTAACAGGAGCACCTTTTGATAGCATGCATCTTGTTGGATTTAGTTTAGGTGCTCATGTTGTAGGAAATGCTGGTAGAGAACTAGGTGGAAGAATTGCTCGTATTACAGGTTAATTATAGCGCTATTATTATAATTTTGTAAATAAATATCGTTCACAATCAGAATACTCTCATAATGTACATATGTTTTATGTTATAGGCTTAGATCCTGCTGGTCCACTATGGAGTTCAAACCCAGATCGTCTTTCACCTAGTCATGCTATATACGTTGAAGCTATTCATACTGATGGCGGAATACTCGGCCTTGGGATTGGATCTGCTGTTGGTAACACAGACTTTTTCCCTAATGGCGGTAAATCTCAGCCTGGGTGTTTGACCAGTATATGTGACCATAATCGCGCTTGGGAACTCTTCGCAGCAACTGTTACTTACAATCATCTTGTGGGCACCCAATGTCAGAATATGCAGGAAGTTTCTAGGAATACTTGCACCGGATCTCGCCTGAATATGGGAAATGATGATTTGAATAAGAGAGGGTAAGTACATAGTTAATCAAGAAGTGTATCCCCAAGTTTGTTAAACAAGATGTATTATTAAAATAATCTATAAATATATAATCTATTTTTCTATCTAAAGGTAGAAAACTAGATTCTCATTTATCATTTCTTTAAAATTACGAAGATTTTTAGTACGTGTACGTGAATGTTTTCATATTCTGTAATTATTTTTTAAGTATTTCTACATAATAATTTGTGAAAATGTTTACTGCATATACTGTATTATTATTTATTATTTGCAGAAATGGCATATACCGAGTAAATACAGAGAGAAGATATCCTTTCTAGAGAACACAGGAATCAACTACTTTATTATTTTTTATTTATTTGTAAATAAAATATTTAAAGTCATATCCGTATTATTTTTTATTTATATGCATAAATATTATTAATAAAAATATATAAAAGGCCTTAAATTTATTCAAACAAAAAAAAACAGAAAATACAAATGCACGTATTTTAATATAAGTAACTACGTTTAAAATAAAAAAAGTCGTAGTCTTAAGCATGCTTTAGATTTATAACTAAGAAATGATTGTGAAAATATCTAGTTTTTGAGAAGAGTTAAGTTAGATTACAATATTAAATATATTTCAAATGGACATTTCGGTAAAACCGTAAAGGTGTAAAACCGCTCTTACATATATGTAAGCACTTTTGAATCCTTAATACATTTAAATGTAAATGTCAAATTCAATGTCAGTATCGTAACACTGTTAGGAAGACAGTTCTGCTGAGTAGATCTAGCGAGAACCTTGTTTACGAGAACATTTGCTCGTTTAAAATTATATTTGTTTGCAATACATGAATACAATAACTTATTTTTCGTAGCTATTAACTGGACTTATTAACGGAGTTCTTATTTGGAGTATTTCTGAGAAGGGGAATCAAGTTTTAAAAGTTTTATGTACATAACGGTATCCTAACATTGATTACTAAATTTCATATTATTTTTGACTTAGATCACTCTTTTTGCTCTAGCTATAAAAGTTTTAAAACTAATACACTATTTTTCCAAAACAAACATTTAATTCCCGCCATGACGCTTACGCTGCTTATCTAACTCTGTGCGTGTGCTTCTTTAAAAATATTTTTAAATCATATGCTCAAATTTTCTACATTATACTGGTGAAAACGCAGCAAAAGACACCTGATTGATTGATGATTATTTAAAGTAGGGGAGAGTAGGAGAATTAAGTACGTGGGCTAATCGCGGACACTTTTGTTTGGCTATATTAGAAAAAGATTAAAGATATTTCCAGTGATGAAATCGTAAGTTGATCTCGAACGCAATGTCGAAAAAATAGTGGTAAACTGATGACGCACTCACTGCACAAGGTATGTCAACTTTATATTTTTTCTACAATTTCATGTCATCTACGAGTATATATGTAATCATATAATTACTTGATGGAGCCGAAGCGTGCTAGAGTGGAGACCACGTTTAGGCCAGCGTAGTGTAGGACGCCCTGCAGCACGATGGACAGATGATCTAAGAAAGGTGGCTGGCAGTGGATGGATGCAGGCTGCCCAAGACCGGGATGGTTGGCGCTCTTTGGGGGAGGCCTTTGTTCAGCAGTGGACGGCGATAGGCTGATTGATTGATAATTACTTGTCCTGACTGATTCATCAACCACAAGGTGTACAAACTTGAAATTTTGGCGGTTGATGCATTTTATAGTATAAACATCCACTAAGGAAGGATTTCATAAATTCCACCTCTATAGGGGTAAAATAAGGTGTGAACAGTTGTATAGAAATCCATAATTTTCAAAGTTAGAAGCATGAAATTTCATATACAAGCTGGTTAGAAATAAATAAATATTTATTTCAACACTGTAAAAAATCTGACCCATAACAAGGTGAAATAGGGGTTGAAAGTTTATATGTCCCCATATAAACTAGCATAGCATTTATTACACACCATGAAAAATGTTCCAAACAAGTTGGGAGGCATTTCTAAGAAAATGTTGCAAATGGTCACCAAATTTGAAGCGCTAAGAATTGACTTTATTTTTGATGATGTGTAATAAATGCTATGCTAGTAGTCTTATAAATCATCTAATTATTACCCAAGTATTATATATAAAAATCGGCTTTTATACTAACGTAAGTAGAATTATGATTTCATGAAAAGGGTGTCTGGCAAGGGTTTGCCACGATGTTAAGTCTCTGGCATTGAAGGACGTGATTTTTAATAATATTCTGAAGCTAATACCAAAAAATCACACTTGAATATTTGACGAATTAAGATCGGTATTTTACACTCCTTTAGTACCGTGTACCTGCCAAAGCCACCATAGCCTGAACTTCATAGTGGTCCGTCGTTCTTATCTGTGTTGGGAGCATGCGCTGACAAACTTTCAGCTTTTATAAAATGACGAAGGTCTGGCGTTCACAGGCTTAGGTCATATACATTTGAAAATCATCACAGCCATCAAATTATTACCAATAGCCTAAAGCCAAACAGTTTTAGTTTGTAGTTTTAGCGCGAGTGAAGCCACGGGTTCTGCTCAACTTGATATTTTTCCTACAATTTCATGTGATTTATGAATAAAGTTGAATATATGTATACCATATCCTCATATAATATGTTTTAAGTATTATATAGGAATTCGGTATCTTTTTTGTGAATTAAAGCCTAATTCAACATTGTTTTAAGGACTCACTGCATGAATTTCAGACCTCAAATAAAACTACGAGTATATAGACCAATCGGTATCCATTTATTAATAATAAATTAGAAATAAATGTGGAAGTTTTTGTATTGTTGTTTCTGTTTTATGACTCATATCTGCATACATGAACTTTTTTGTTTATTAAAAATCGATATCAATATACTTATCTATTCTTTGTTTCAGAGAACACAAAATTACCTAATAAAAAAAAATGGAGGCCCACTACAAATATAAAGAGAAAATATATAAATTTGAAAAAAATAAACATACAAAGATAACTAAGGAGCACATTAAACGATCAGAAAAGAAAGTTCCACTAATGTTAAGAAAGCTGTGAAAAATCTCATTGCATTTACAAAGGAGAAAATTAAGACAAAAGTTTCAGAAAAGGACATGGCGTCTAAGAAAATGGCCAATGAAGAAGATACGAAAGAAAATCAATTTTATATATTATTTTCTAATTTGTGACGATGATCCTCCCAATGAGTATTAGGTTAATTACCTTAAGTAATTTTTAGTAACAAAATAACATATTTTATAACTTTATCTGGTATGGTTTTATTTTAGTTTTCCCTTATGTGTTCGCAATTACCCCACTCTCCCCTACTCGTATTAAAGCTTAGGAAATCATATAAAATAAATTTAGATACATACATATGTATGTGTGGAAATTGGATTACAAATGGATTTCGATCTAATCTCTTGTCAGTCTTACTTGAGAACTTTCTCAGGCAACATTTTATCCACTCAATATTTTCTTAACATTTAGTATGTTCTAATTGAGATCTATAAACTTAACTAAATACTATTTAGCCTCGTGTCCAAGAAGATAATGGTGTTCCCAATCATTTAATAGGGAATTGCCTTTTTATATAACAATAAAAAGGAAAATTCGGCATGATTGGAATCTACATAAATATATAAGTACTTTTTCTCCTCTTTTTGTCAACCGATTTCCTTCTTTTTTGTTTCCTAGCTATTGGGTAATCTTTACGAGATTTAGTGTAATCAATAAGCAATTTAGGAAACAGTTGGTTTTTCACGTTATAGGTACATTCTATTCATATATTATAGTTTGTTCTCGATAATGATTATCGTCGAATTTCACGATACTAGTAATAATAATATCCTCTTGACCAATTTCGGCCTCAGCGTCCAATCTTACTAAGAATAGTGTAGGACATATGCCCACGAAAATTGTACTAGTGGAGAAAGTACATCAAGTGTACATCAAGATCTTTACAATACCCGCAAATTGTCTATAGTCGTCTATTGTATTATTATTTAATCCCTTTACATTACAGGTAATATCAGTTTAAATTACTGAACTACTTTTTAAAACACCATTTAGATGGGCTGGTATGGATAATGAATAACATGATCCCTCATAGAACGACATCATCATTCTTATGGCATCTTGTTTGTTTGAAAGCCTTAACTTTGTTTTAGCGTTTTAAATTAATTACTCATAATATCGGTTTCAATTTAAATTTCCACTTACAACACTTTTCACTTTTATCTTGTTGCTACGGAATCCTGAAAAGGATTTTTTAAATTATAGATAACAATTGGATGAACTAATTATAAACTTCTTTCTATTTAATTATTATCTTTTTAGAAAATAAATCTGGAGAGTCATAAATACGAGTAAACCGAATCAGTTGTATTGAGAGAGCCCCCAACAAGATATGAAGTCACTTTTGTGCTTTCTTGTATTAGGTAAGTCAATTTTCAGATGATTTTAATATAATTGTGATTATAATAATAATAACTGTGATTATAATATTTAACGTGATAATTATTTGTAATATAAATGATATAAACTCAATTATTTCAAATATCATAATATTTTAGTGTGCGCCGCTGTGGCCGTGCCCTTGGAAAATGTGGAAGAACAATATCAACGTTTCGTTCAAGTTCCTGGTGGTGATGGTGAAATGCACTTAGTTGATTTGGAGGAGCAACCAGATTATGAATTACTTCAAGATATCGAGAGGAATCCAGCAAATAATCAATACCTCCTATTCACTAGGTATAATTTTTGATCATTTTACTTGAGGACTTTTAATTAAGTCTATTCTTCGAATGTTGTTAATAGTTATGTAATTTTGCTATTATAATATACATTGTGTGTAATATTTTATTAGGCGTAATCCAAGATTATCTCAGACTCTCATAATAAACGATGCAAATAGCATTACCTCATCCAATTTCAATGCGAGAGTTCCAACCGTTGTTGTTGTCCACGGATGGCTCAGTAACCAGAACACTGACATAAACCCAGTTATCAGGAATGGTAAGCTTACATTTCGATAGTATAATAGAATAATTCGTTGCAAAAGTCTTTTTTATAATAATTAACATTTTAAAATAATTTATTGTTATTCTTATTTTTTAAGATTAATTGAATGTGCAACTAAATCTCATCAACAATCATGTTATAATAATAATAATATAATAAGTTCTAAAGTCAAATGTGGTGAGTCATAGGGCAATATCATGAACGATATTTGATCTTTTTAATGGCTTGAATATCTACATTTCTTAGTATTTTTTTATTAAAAAATATTAAGATTTTAATACTATTTATTTTCAATACATAATAGATAATTAAAAAATATTGTATTTTGTTTAAAAACTATTAAATCTGGTTTAGAAATGTATGTTTATTTAATTTACTTTTATTATTACAGCTTATCTTGATAAATCGGATGTAAATGTGATTGTTATGGATTGGAGAAGATTAGCTATGTCTACCTATCCTACTGCTGTTGCTGGAGTTCCGGCGGTGGGACGTGGCCTGGGACAATTTCTTGCTTTTCTCAACAGAGTAACAGGAGCACCCTTTAACACAATGCATCTTGTCGGATTTAGTTTAGGCGCCCACATCGTTGGCAATGCTGGCAGAGAACTTGGAGGCAGAGCTGCACGTGTTACAGGTAACTTTATAAGATTATTAGACCAAGTACGTTTTTCAGAAAAAATATTATACTAAGAAGTAGATATTTTTTCTTTAAGACATCATTATTTTGCAAAATGGCTTTTTGGGCTCAACATTTTTCAACATTATTACAAGAGTTTTAAACACAAAAAAATATAATTATGTTATTTTTAAGTAGTTTATTTAATAAATCATAACTGAAATATTTATTTATTTATGTACCAAAAAAAAAATACATTTAAAATAGAAAATAGATACCATGTATAAAAAGGGTGACTAATTTCTTAAAGAGATCTATCTCTACCAGAAACCCTCGATCGTGAAAAAATGATAATAATGAGGTGCGGTGTAATTACTTTACTTTATGTGAAAAAGACTTCTACAGTTCAATGTTCTTCAATATTTTTTACAGTACCTATTTAATTTCCCTTTACTTAAGTTACATATTAGATACCTTAATTAAAAATATGTGTATGTATGTAATCAGCCCTTTTTAACGTCCCACTTCTGGGCACGGGCCTCCCTTCAATACGAGGGGGATCAGGCCATAGTCCACCACGCTGGCCAAATGGCGGACTTCACATGTCTTTCGAAAACTTGCTAGGCTCTCAGACATGCAGGTTTCCTCACGATGTTTTTCCTTCACCGTAAGGCAAGTGGTAATCATGTTAGAAATAATTCGCACATGAAAATATCAGAGATGCGAGACCCGGCATTTGAACCCGCTTCACTCGGTTTCCCAAGCAAGCGCGTTACCACTGGGCTACTACTGCTATTAAAAATATATACCTATTATTATTATTAATAAAAATATTGAAGAGAGAATTTAATACCTTTTTTTAAAAAATGCTATTTGAGCGTCCTTTCGTCTGTATCAGTTTGATCTACCGATCAAACTGATACAGACGATTATAAAGAGTACTAATATTATAAAGAGGTAAAGTTTGTGAGTTTGTGACGTTGTAGGGGGTAATCTCTGGATCTACTGAACGGATTTAAATGTTGACGGTTTGTGGCAACAAGATAGTTTGAGACCCTGAGAAGGACATAGGAGGACTATTTATTCCGTAAATTATCCCTTAAAGGGGTGAAAATGGGGATGAAAGTTTGTATAGAGAATCAAGCTAGGGACGAACGAGGGTGAGTCACTAGTTTTTTTCATAAAGATAATTTTTAATTATTGCAAATTATTGATTTTTATAGGTTTGGATCCCGCTGGTCCATTGTGGGGAGCTAACACAAACCGTCTACGACCTACTGATGGTGTATATGTTGAGGCTATTCACACCAATGGTGGATATATGGGTCTGGGTATTCGATTTGCAGTAGCTAATGCTGATTTCTTCCCTAACGGTGGATATTTCCAGCCTGGTTGTTACACCAGTGTATGTAATCACAATCGTGCTTGGGAGCTTTTCGCGTCAACCGTTACCAATAATCATCTTGTTGGAAGACAATGTAGTAATATGCTTGAAGTGTCACTTAACACCTGCAGAGGTTCTAATCTCAACATGGGCAATGACAATTTAACTAAGACAGGGTAAGTTTCATATTTCCTATTTATTTATTTTTTCATATTTTGTTTTCTTGCGATTTAATCATTTTAATTTTTCCAAATTAAATTGGCTATTTCGACAGACCAATTTATCCCTATTTATATATTTGGTTTGGTGGTTTGGGTTTGGTTTTACAAGGTTTTAAGTAGTTCATCAATATTTTATTATTAAGGTTAATATAAATTCGGGATATATGTATAAAGCAACTAAATATGACTTTCCAAAGACTACTCATCTGATGATGATTCTTCTATTAAATAATTCCACGAGAAATTCTCGAAATAGAATGATGTAAAGAGCATTCAACACAAACCTCTGGTGGAATACCTGTATAAAATACGAGGTAGAATCTGGATGTTTAAAAAAATGTTACAGAATAAGTTTGAAACTTATTTGAAAATTCAAAATGCTTTTATATTCATCTCTAATACTTTGATCAATACTTTGAATATTATATTCCGATAACATATATTGTTTATGAAAAGAGTTTTTTAATAAGGTGCATAATTTAAATTGTAAGTTTCCTTACAAAACGGTAGCTCCAAATTAAATATACTTTAATAAACGTAGGATATAAATCTACAATTATTTGTCTCTCCAATTGAGATTTAGCCAAAAACATTGCGCAATCATTTACAGCGTCAACAAATAATAATTGTGAATATAATTATTATTTCTTGTAATTTTTTTTCTTTGTATCTTACACAATTATATTTTTTTTATAATATAACCTTTTCCTTTCCAGTAATGGCTTGTACCGATTGAACACCAACCGCAGATATCCCTACTAATTTAAACATCAATTAATGTTTTTAGCTTATAATCTATATTACTATAATAAAGCAGTAACTTAGCAAAATCTGTACATGATTTTTTTTTAAATACAAATACTCTTTGAAACAATGAATGTTTTGTATAATAAACAAAGGATTTTATTTCTGAAAAGTGTAGTTACGAAAAGGTAAACTAGTGATAGAGAGAGACTTATGTTTTTTCTATGATATAATTTTCAAATATCAAAAGTAATTGCTGGAGTATCCACATCTTCATTTGTAAGTTAGATGTTGAATAATTTTAGCCGACATAAGCCCCATGAAACATTTCCCTAGCGTAAAAAAAGACATTGAGAAATCTGGCACTACACTTTCCCATAAATGTATGTCGGTTCATGTGGTTATGCACAATTTACTAAATGAATATACGCTTCTAATAGAAGCTAGTAAAATATATGTGTAATAATAAAATTTTGTAATAAAAAACACTGTGTAATAAAAAAGATAGGCAGTGATGGCCCAGTCACGCGTTCGCTTGAAAACAAAGTGATGCAGGATCAATTCCCGGGTCTCGCACCTCTGATGTTTGTATGTATGAGTTATTTTTAACATAATTATCACTTGTCTTAAGATGAAGGAAAACATCGTGAGCAACCTGGCATGTCTCAGACATGCTAGGCTAACTCATTTCTCAGGCTGCCAGGAACCTAACTAGCAGCGAGATAGAGCAAAATGTGTGCAATAGGTGGGTTACTCTAGTAGAAAAAAATAGACGTTATGGAATCAAATTATAATAGTAATATTATGTTGCAGTACATTATATAGATAAAAATGACTAAAAAAGTGGACGTAAAATAACTTTCTAACGCACAAGTTTCAATTTTTTTTGATTTTTAAGAAAGTCTCATTAAAATTATAGTTTTTTTTATTGAAAATAACTTTAATGTTTTAAAAACAAAAGAAATATCTTCTTAAAGACACAAAATAAAACTTAAATAAAAAAATCCATTTAAATATATAAACTAATTTTTTTTTTACTTGTACGAGGATTACTCCTCTGTATCGCACTTCGTGACATCTTGATAGGTTGTTAACACGTTATCTTTATCTTCTATAGTCACAAGTAGGGTAGGCTGGTCTAAGATTACGCACTTAAGGTTCAAACAGTTCTAAAATTAAATTAAATATCTCTAGATATTAGATAATCAGCTTAACTTTTATTTTGTACTTAATAAGGACATCTTTCTTAAAGCAACATGAAATGGAACAGAAATATACAAAATATTTAGAAAAATGAAAAATTAACAGATGTGATAATTGCGTACTCTAACAGGAGCTATTGGATAAGAGTACTCATGTGAGTAGATAAGAGTACGCAGAAAAAATTATCTCATAATTCGTGTCCTGTAGCTCGTAAAGGCTTCATGCCACCACTTCTGGCATTTGGAACATCCTATCCAATCTTCATTTGGGAGGTCTACTCATACTTCACCATATGGTGGTCATATCCACATTATTTTTTTGCGTGTCGTCTTTAGGACTTGGGAAAGTTTTTCAGCCATCTTAGTTTCGCAATCCTTTTTGGTACTACTTTTGAGGCCATAGTGCGAAAAAACGAACTGCCTCTAAAGTACATTGGGACTTGTGGTTATCTAAAATCAATAGTATTGGATTAATATATTTGTGTGTAAGATTACGCGCGTACTTTTGTAACATACTCAAGTGCGTAATCTTGCACACATTCGGGTTTTCTTATCGAGTAAAGTGCAACGCCATCTATTGCATTGATCGAAATCGCTCTCGCTATGACCCCTAGGAGAATTTCTTGCCGATCAAGCCGCATAATCGTAAATTTCAAAATAATCGTAAATTTCTAAAATGTAAAAATTATTTAAGAACGTAAATAAAATGCTTACACTTGATTTCTGTGTTTTTGTAGGTATTTCTTTTTTTCGCATAGTAGGTACTTTTCACTAGCTTACACTTTAAAATAGCACTGAAGTTTACCGCGGATTGTAAACAACGTCGTTGCTAATGACACTGCGTACTCTTATCGGATGCGTACTCTTAGACCAGCCTACGCTTTAAGACACGTGTGCGATTTCATCTACATTCTTTTACTCGCAATAATAATAACTAAATCTATCAAAAAATAAAATCAAAATAAAAATTATACTAGTATTAGACGTAATATTATGTATCTACCCGTCTTACATTGTATTTATTTCTTAAAATAGTAAAATTGAAACTGTTACACTGTGAATTAAAAATAAAACTAAATTAAGTAAGTTCAATAATCATTTCTTTTTAATTTAAAGGCCATCCTATTGTGAAGTCCGTCAACCCGCACATGGCCAGCGCGGTGGGCTATAGCCAGATACCCCTCGCAGTGTTCAATGTTCATGCCCAGCAGTGGGACTGTAAAAAAGGCTGAATGAGATAAAAATAAAATTTTAAGTTACCTTATTGTCTCAGCAAAAGTAATGAACTGAGAAAGCAATATTAGGCTAAAGGACATCGAGGAAACAGCAAACATTTTGATATTAATATGTTTACATCGATTTTAAACTACCCATTTTGTGGACTTGAACTTTTTTCTTTGACTTTCGAAGTAAAAAATTAGATAAATAAATTAATAGTAAAATTAACATTTTTAAAAACAAGCATCTTTAATGCGCTGAAAAGAAGAAAATAAAAATATAAGACCTTCTTTTTAAAAATATTTTATTACTTTTGACTGTGATTTGCGGTTGCCCTTTTAACATACTTACTTATACATATTACTTTTCGTGCTCTATCTCAAAAACTGTGAATCGTATAAGAAATATTTAATACATACTTAAATAGTAGAACTTTTTATACTTTATAAATTTTGGAATAGATGAAAATGTTATTGAACGCATAAGAAGCGAGATATTTGCTAAGAACTGATTTTTGGACCCTTTGAGCTTATTATGACTTATTCCAAGGTGAAACCTTGAATTTGACTGTACTAATAAATAGAGTTATTAGGAACAGTTATAAAGTGTTTGTGTGTCCAAATTATACTGTGGGTGGTAACAATATAAGGTTCCATCCTTGGAGGAGTTTTGTCTGCAAATAATTTATCTTTGATAGTAATAAAAACATGTAAATCCAGATTTAAATTAAATTACTCAAGAACACTCAGCACTACATTTCTTGTAAGCATTTCGGATAGCACCAACTTCATAAATTTTATTTTACTACATTGCTATTTGCATATGACCTGCTAAATCACTATTCCCTATAGAAAAAATCTTTTAAAAGAGTTTGATGGTGAAATTTTTAAACGCAAGAGTCCTTAGAGATAAACTCAAGGGCTCTCAGCACATTTAACGGGACTGAAGCGACAGTCGAGACGGTAAGGCAGAGTGAGCAACAGAGTGTGCGTTTCGTAAAACGCTGCCACGCTGTAACGAAGCTTGTTAGAGTACTTTTATAAGGAGATTGTCAACTGCAGTGAAGAAACCTTCTGAGCGAGGACCGTGCAAATGAAACTAATGAGTCCTCTGTTATTATGTACGCTAGCAGTACTTGTGCCCAAGCGTTAGGTGAGAGATATTTTTTTTAATAATTGTTTCGGAGTTGTTTGAGTGCTTAAATGAATGAGTTTATAAGAATAAGCGTAGACAGGTTTTCATTTGCAAGTAATTTGGATAATCAATCATTAATATATTATATACACTAGCGACTCACCCTCGCGTCGCTCGGGTTTGTCACTAGCTTGATTCCCCATACAAATTTTTATCCCCATTTTCACCCCCTCATGGGATAATTTTCCGGGATAAAAAGTATCCTATGTCCTTCCCAGGGTCTAAAACTATCTTCTTACCTCATCTAAATCGGTTCAGAATATCCATAGATTACCCCCTACAACGTCACAAACTCACAAATTCACACACTTTACCTCTTTATAATATTAGTACAGATAAAGCCTTCGGTTCTGCACTGATCGTATCGATTGTCGTCTCGCTAGATTTTGAGAGTGCAAGATAATGCGCTTATGTTACACGTACTTGTAGACTAATTTATATCTAAATTGTTTAGGAATATATTATATTATATAGGAGGTGATCATAATAGTAAATAAAGCACAAAAATAGCTAACAATGTCTTGTTTAAAAAGTCACCAACAGAGGTCGCCACTTTTAAAATAAGTAATTTAAATCCCAAATCGTACAGACAGACTATACTATTTTACAAGTACTAGCGCTTTTCTGCAGCCCTGCACGCGTTAGCACGTTCAATCAAACAAAAAAAGGAATTCTTCTTTATACATTTATTTTATTAGGTTAACGCTAAAATAAAATATTTACGTCTTCACAATTTATGCGACTACATATATAAGTAAGTTCATGTTTGAAAATATCGATTTTTAGGCTTTTGTCGATTTTTTGTCCAGAAGTTAAATTATATTTTTTTTTACTTTTCAGCAAGCTGCAAATCCCGCTAGATGCCTGGTTAGGATTTCTTAGATGTACACGTTACCTCACAATGAAAGAAAACCTGTAGTTTGAACCCGATCCTCAGTCCTTTATATATATTTTTCACATAGAATGTTTTTTCTAGCTATGTTATGTATATAGATATAATAATAAAAACTTAAAAAAAACGACTTCAAGGCACTAAAATGTAAAAAATAACTAAACGGCGGTTTTCATTTAGAATATCTATTCTAGGTAGATACCTAATCAGATATTTTCGAAGTCGGTGCCAGCCGATGCAAAGCAAATCTAATATATTTTGATACGTAATCGCAAATTGATGTATAATATTTTAACTATATTTAGAGTTCATACCTAATCATATTTACCAATTAGATATTCATGTCTTAAGACCTGAAATATTGTCGGCTGGCACCGACTTCGAAAATATCTGATTAGGTACCTATCTATTCTAGATGAAAACCCCCGTTTAGTTATTTTTTACATTTTAGTGCCTGGAAGTCGGTTTTTTTAATTTTTATTTTTCCATTTTAGTACACCTATATAATT